GGGAAGGGGCACGGTGAGCTCTCCCTTCTCCGGGGGTGACGGGAACCCCAAAGTGAAGTCTCGCTGGCCACGCACCCACCCTTCTCCTCCACGAACCCCAGCACGTGGCCTTGCCCTGCTCCTCCTTCATGCCCTGATGTTCCTCCCTCTCTTGGTCGCTGCCTCTAGAATAAACTCGGAGGGCTGGTTTCCACCTTCTGCCTGAGCAGAAGACGACATTCTCCTGTCAGAGGGCACTGCTTCCGAGAGAGCCCTGCCCACCCCTCTTTTTTCAAGGCGCTGCCCCTGCGGCCGGCCCCTGCGCGGGGAGGGGGACCAGCAGCATCCACCAAGGCCACGGGCGTGAGCTGCGAGCCAGAGCAGGAAACAAGCCCCGAGCTCACATCCCCATCCGGAGGAAACACTCCTGAACATCTGGAGGACCCGAACAGCTGGAAAAAACCAAACCGGCCCTCCCTTCGCAGCAATAAGCACGCCGGGCACTGCGTTTGGAGGGGCCCTCCCAGGATACCTCACTGGGAGCGGAGGGGTGGGGTGCTCGAGTGGGATTTTGTTTGCAGGAAGCAAACGCTGCCAGCATTTCTTTCTTTTGTATAATTATTTTTCTCGTTTTCGGGGAACACCTCCACTTGCCCCCCAGCCTTTGGCTCAAAAAACGAGTGAGGGAAAACCATCTCTGGGCACGACGCGCTTCTCTCCAGCACTTGGGTGAAGGGGTTGGGCCAGCATGGGTGCTGGGGTGACTCCCATGTGAAAAAAAAACAACAACCAGTTAAGGGCAACGTTAGTGCAGGGTTTTCTCCCACACGCCGGGCGCCAAGTGCCTCCCCTCTCCCCTTCTGCTGCGGAAGGAGCTGGTTCTGCAGCCAGATGTTCCCAGGCGTTTGGCTTGAGGCCACCCAGCTCACGCAAGGGACACCGAGAGGAGCTCTCCCTCGCTGCAGGATTGCAATGATTTAAATAAACTCATAATTAAAAAAAACAAAAAACAACAACAACAGAAAAACAAGGGAAGCAAAAGAAGGAAAAACAGGCAAGTGCACATGGACAATGTGAAAAACACTGTTTCTGGCTCCAGCACGCAGGATGTAGAAAAGCAAAACAGCCCCCTTATGGCTAATTCTCAGCATTGCATCAGTTCCCAAATATCCCAGGAGACGGGGAAAATTCCTTCGGAACTTCCAGAGAAAAGCAGGTCTGCTCTGAAGCTTCAAGACGAGGCCGTTCACAGGGGCAACGGGCTCACCCTTCTTCATCTGAACTCCTCTAGGCTGGGTCAGGTGAGGGCGCGGCGAGCCAAGCACCGTCCCCTGCAGCTGAGCCCCTCTTTCAGGAGGAATTTCCCCTCCAGGGGAAGCACAACAAAACACTTATGTTGGTTTCATTCCGTTTTTTCATTGAGTTCTGCAGAAGTTTGTTCCACAAAATGAGGGGGGGGAAAAGATATACGTCCCTTTCCTCCTACAGGCTTCCTCAGGAAATTGGACTGGGTCTGTTTAGGTCAAACCAGGACACTTACCTACGTCGTCGTCAGAAAAAAAAAAAGCCATTTCAGTCAAAAAGGTGTCCCGTTAAAAAAAAAAACCAACAAAAACCGAACGCCCGCTGCTGAAATTGTTTCTGCTGTGTTCGTTTGCGGACGTGGCGCATCTGAGGTCACCTCCTGCCCCGCTTCCAACTCACCCCCGCCCTGCCTCCCGCTTCCAGAACTCACCGTAGTCACGAGATCACACATTTACAGTTCATGCAGCCGGGGCCACTCTCATCCGGGGGGTTCAGCTTGCGCAGCTTGTGCTGCCGGATCTCCCGCACCAACGTGTAGAAGGCGTCTTCGACACCCTGGGAGAGAAGCAGCCGCCCGCAGTGGAGAGGGGCAGCGAGGGCTCCGATCCCCAGCGCTGTCCTCCTCCCGAAAGCACCAAACTGAGCTGGGAAGACTAACGGGGAGTGAGGCTGAACCAGCAACCACGAGAAGCCAGTAAGTCCTTGAGACTCGTGAGCTTGTGGGCTCCCCAGTTCCGGAGAGACAGGGACCTCCTGGAGAGAGTCCAAGGGAGAGCTACGAGGGGGATCAAGGGACTGAACATCTCTGCTGGGAAGAGACTGAGAGACCTGGGGCTGTTCAGCCTGGAAAGGAGACGGCTGAGAGGGGACTTATTGACGTAGAGAAATATCTGAGGGGTGGGGGTCAAGGGGAAGGGACCTACTCCCTTCATCATCCTCGTAGCTCTCCGTTGGAGTCCAACGGAGAGCTACGAGGATGATGAAGGGACTTGAACATCTCTGCCAAACCTGACCATGGGTGAGGTTACCCCCGTTCCCGGAGCGCAGCTGACCTACAGCGCCTACGGGCGTTATTCCAGAGCCTCAAGAAGACCCCTTCCCTCCACAACACCCTAATGGAAGTTTAATCCTTGAGGAAGCAACTAATCCCAGCCCTCGCCCCATCTGCAAGGTGGGGTCCGCCCATTCCTGCCTCTCCAGGACAACACCGGAGAAAAGATAAAAAGAAGAAAGATTTTGTTTAAAACCCTTGGCCTACCTGTCTGGTTTTGGCAGACGTTTCTATGTAGGGGATCCCGTAACTCCGGGCCAGGTCCTGCGCTTGCCGCGTCTCCACCGTCCGTGCCGGGAGGTCACATTTGTTTCCCACCAGCACCATGGGAACATCGTCCGAGTCTTTAACCCTCTTGATCTGCTCTCTGCAAGAGCGAAAGGTGCCAAAGGGGAGGCAGAAAAAGCATCAGGGGGCAGCTCCAAGACACTCCCCGCCGGTTTCTCCATCATGAATTAACCGCTGCACTTCATATTCCTGCCAAGTGGGCTTTCAGGAGAATGTAAATGCAAAAAAAAGACCAAAACCTAAACATACTTTTGCTCTTCAGATGCAACTGTTTACAAAACCCAATATACTGAGGCAGGAGCTGAAGATTTCTAGTTTAAACTGAATAAAATTGAGTACTCAAGCAGTTACTGGTCTTATTTGCAACATCTGAGATCAAGTAATTCCCCTACATGGGGATTAGGGAAAAAAAACCAAGAGAGAGAATTAAAAGTCACCTGCGACCAGAATTTGCTGAGCTGAGAAATCAGCTTTTGGCAGCCGTAACCTTTTCTGCAGATGCACAGGCAGGATTTGCTTCCTCCCAGTTTAGTCCAGGTCACTCAAAGTTGAGAAACCGACTGAGAAGCAAAAAAAAAGCCGTAACGCTCGCTTCTTCATTCCAACCCCAGCTTTAAAACGAGGTGGGCGAGGATGAGCTTTACCACTTCTCCAAAAAAAAAAATCTTAAAGGCCATTATGACCACAAACAATCCATTCAATTCCCTCCTGGGAGAGAATAACTTCCTTTGCTTTAATAAATCATTTAACTTCAGATGCAGAACAGCTTTGCTTTCTCTCGCTCGTGCATCCTGAGCATTTAACGTGGTTTTATCTGACTAACAAAAGCGGGATTTAACGTGCTGATTTCTGCATTTTGGTGGAATTCCAATTTCCATCCAAAGGCGGCTGGACCAAAAAACCCAACACCACAACTTCAAAACCAATCTTCTCTTTTTTTTAATGCAGCAGAACACAGAAATGAAGTCTGACTGTATGTACAATCTGCCATAAAACCACTTAAATGTCCCACGTAACATCCTGATCGGCAAACACAAGCACTAAATTTAGTGCCTGGGCTACACTTAGCTGAAAAGAGACACCTCCTCATGGTTCCCGACCCGCGCTTCTCGGGGGAACCCGCGTTTAAAAGCGCAGACACCAGAGAGCGCAGGTGGAATGAGATGAAAGCTGGTGATTTACGTCGTGATTAAACCCGTGCCTTGAGCTCCGAGGGGCCAGAGCTGCCTGAAACCGAGCTCCAATGAATGGCAAATGTCTGAAACTGAGTTCTGTCAGGCCAGGACTGTCTGAAACTGAGCCCCACGGGGCCAGAGCTGTCCAAAACTGAGCTCCAAGGGGCCAGGGTTGCCCAAAACCGAGCTCTAAGAGGGCAGGACTGCCCAAAACCGAGCTCTAAGAGGCCAGTACTGCCCAAAACCGAGCTCCAAGGGGCCAGGGTTGCCCAAAACTGAGCTCCAAGGGGCCAGGGTTGCCCAAAACCGAGCTCCAAGGGGCCAGGGTTGCCCAAAACCGAGCTCTAAGAGGCCAGGACTGCCCAAAACTGAGCTCCAAGGGGACAGAGTTGCCCAAAACAGCTCTAAAGAGGCCAGGGCTGCCCCAAACTGAGCTCCAAGGGGACAGGGCCGCCTAAATCTGAGCTCCAAGAGTCCAGGGCTGCCCAAATCTGAGCTCGAACAAATGACCACTGTCGGAAACCAAGTTCCATCAGGGCAGAACTGTCTGAAACTTGAGCCCTAAGGGGCCAGGGCTACCCCAAACCAACCTCCAAGGGGCCAGGGCTGCCCCAAACTGATCTTCAAGGC